GTCAGAAAATTAAACTGTATGAAAGTCTGACAATCAGAGTTAAAGAAGAAACATTCATTGGCACCAGTAGGAGGGGTGGAGATGGGCAGCTGGGGTGGAGAGGACACAAGTCAGCAGCAAGAAGACCAGGCAGTCCCACATTTGTGTGTGGATAGGTTGGGAGGAACAACTGGGGAACAAGACAAACCACAAAATCCAGGGTTCCAGCACAGGAAACTAAAGCCTCAAGATCTCTCGCTGTAAAAACCTGTGGGAGTTGCCATGACAGGAGAAAATACCAGTCTCACAAGAAAGTTCATTGGAGGGGTCCACAGGGTCCCAGAATGTACAGAGCCCACCGAATCTGCACTAGAAAGAGCACAATCTGCTTGTGTAAAAGGAGGGAAGAGAAGAAGTGAGGCAAAAGCCAAGCAAGTGGCATTGTTCCCTCTCTGACCCCTCCCCTACATACAGAACCACAGTATGGTGACGTGGATTGCCCCACCCTGGCGAATACCTAAGGCTCCACCCCTTGCAACATAACAGGTAAACCAAGATAAAGGAATATGGCCCAAATGAAAGAACAGATCAAAGCTCCAGAAAAAAAAAATAAGTGATGAGAAGATAGATAAATAACCTATCAGATGCAGAATTCAGAACACTGGTAATCAGGAACCTCATGGAAATGGTTGAGTATGGTCGCAAAATGAAGGGAGAAATGAAGGCAAAATATACAGGGAACCAACAGTGAAGGGAGGGAAACCAGGACTTAAATCAATGGTTTGGAACAGAAAGAAGCAATAAACATCCAACTGGAACAGAATGAAGAAAAAGCAATTCAAAAAATGAGGAGAGGCTTAGGAACCCCTGAGATATCTTTAAACATTCCAACATCCAAATTATAGGGATGCCAGAAGAAGAAGAGCAAGAAATGGAAAATTTATGTGAACAAATAACGAAGTAGAACTTCCCCAATCTGGCAAAAGAACTAGACTTCCAGGAAGTCCAGGAAGCTCAGAGTCCCCAAGAAGTTGGACCCAAGGAAGCACACACAAAGGCACATCATAATTAATTACCCAATATTAAAGGTAAGGAGAGAATATTAAAAGCAGCAAGAGAAAAGGAGTCAGTTACCTACAAAGGAGTTCCCATAATACCATGGGCTGATTTCTCAAAAGAAATCTTACAGGCAAGACGGGACTGGAAAGAAGTATTCCAAGTCATGAAAGGCAAGGACCTACATCCAAGATTGCTCTATCCAGCAAAACTATCATTTAGAATGGAAGGACAGATAAAGTGCTTCTCAGATATTGTCAAGTTAAAGGAGTTCATCATCACCAAGCCCTTATTATATAAAATGTTAAAGGGACTTATCTAAGAAAAAGAAGATAAAAAACATGTATAGTAAAATTACAACAAACTCATGACTATCAACAACTGAACCTAAAAAAAACAAAAACTAAAGCAAACTAGTACAGGAACGGAATTAGAAATGGAGAACAAAGGGAGGCTTATCAGTGGGAAGAGAGAGGGGGAGAATGGGGAAGGGTAAAGGGAAGAAGCATAAATGGTAGGTAGAAAATAAGACAGGAGCCAGTTAATAGTATAGGAAATGGAGAAGCCAAAGAACTTGTATGTACGACTCATGGACATGAACTATGGTGAGGGGAAAGCTGGAGGGAGGTGGAATGGAAGGCAGAGGGGAATTAAGGAGAGGAAAAAAATGGGACAACTGTAATAGTATAATCAAGAAAATATACTATAAAAAAGAAAAAGACTTCTAGTCCTTTCTCTTTAGCAATGTTTTAAACACATATAACTTTACTGCGATATCTTTAAGAAATATATCTTTATTTAAGAAATATCTTTACAGAAATATATTTAAGGTGTACAACTTAATGAATTTATGTGAATGTGTATACTGTGAAAAAATATCACCATCAGTTAATTAACTTATACATCACCTTAATAGTTACCCTTGTATGTTTTTGTGTGTGTGTGTGTGTGTGTGTGTGTGTGTGTGTGTGTGTGTGTTGAGAAGACTTAAAATCTATCCTCTTAGAAAATCTATTAAATAGAAAATACTCAACGAGAGGAACTCTCTATTCACATTACCAGCATGGCTACGATTTCATCAGGGTCCTATAAGTAGGAGGTCAAAGGAGAAAAAAAAAAGCCATACAAAGCTTTGCTCAAATAACTAAAACCAATTAATTTTCACAATAGAAACATAGTATCAAGAGATAGTATAGTAGCTTTTGCCTCATCAATAATATAGAATATAGTAATACAATAGCTTTTACTCTGATTAATCTGCTACAGAGGTTGTATCCTAGTAACAATCAAGCTATTCTTTATTTTAAGGCTTACACATATAGGAACACTAGTTCTGCCAAATTAAACTATCAATTTTATTCTGAATTTGTCAGCTGGTTTATTAATAAAGGGATATATTGTTTGGTAAATGAAAAAGGCCTAGTGTCTCTGGTCCCATTCCTATCTCCTATGGCTAAGCTTCTGAGGAAAGGGCGACTTTGGGGCCCACAACTCAGCACAGTGGCTAGATAATCGTAAGCACTGGAGGAGTACTGACCGGAGACTCTCCTCACAGTAGATTCACTCACCTTGTGAGTTAATGCAGGAGAAAAAAGCACCTGGATGATCCTAAGAATAGAGTTTGCAGGATAATTACAGCACAGACAAAAGGAACCACTGAATGGAAAGCCCCCTGGCGCACTGGATGGCAAGCTCTGCTAAACAAACACACTGATTGTTTTTAAGGCTGGGGTTGTATTTAAACCAAGTTGCACTGCAGTTCATTTCAAAGAAATTACTTCATAGCTTCAGGAATCCCCTATGAAATCAGTTACTACAAATTTCTATTTCTTATTTGTGAGCAAACTAATCATGAATTAATCACTGAACCATCATGTCTTTATACAGATTTGCATCAGATCAGATTTGCTCACCACGCCGGCTGCCAATTATTATACTAAAAATTAACACATGCTCCATTAGGGGTAACAGAGGATTCTGCTACGTGATGAATATACAAAAGATAAAATTTAATCAATAAGCTGGCCACTCACATGACAGAAGATTTAAAATGAACAGCAGGAGTTAAAATTCTTAAGAAAACTAAACGGTAGGGCTCAGCTGACCTGATGACTAAACAGGCCAGCTGTGTGGGAGAAGTCCTACAGCAGTAAGAGTTACATCTGCTTCCTATGAACTTCTTTCGCAAGCCCAGTGTTTTCATATCTTTTCTTGCATCAGAATTTGTAACATTCCTGAGAGCCAATTAAGGACAAAGACTCTCTTGCCAAATTTTAATGAAAAGCACTAAGCCAATTAAGGTCACACCATTAGTGAAGTTTTTAAAAGTGTCCTCAGCATCATATAGTCATAGGCATTAAGTGAACACTGACTTAAGGTAATGCCCCCAGCCAGCACAGCCACTCCGTCATAGCACCCTCCCCCGGGGGGTCCTAGACTGAGTTAATCCATTATCATTATGCGTTGGCTATCACAATAGGGTGCTCGCTGTACCAAGAACTGAGTTCAAAAGTATACTACTAAATGAGTAGCATTTAATTTACTTCTAACAATTCTTTGAGTGAGATGCAATCATTCTCACTTTATAGATAAGAAAACTGAGGCTTAGAAAAGTGAACTTGCCAAAGTGACTCAGTAGGTCATGGAGCTCGGACGTGAACCCAGAGTTTGCCTCAGAGCCTTGTTCTTAACTATTATACAATCTTGTCTTCCAAACCACTGAAGCTGGAATAGTTTAAAAACCCATGCCATTTCAAAATGGTCAGAAAAGTCAGCAGACTTATGTTTTCATCAGTTCACACATACTACACTTGTGAATTCGGGCCTTAAAAGAACACATTTGGAAAAAGTTATACTAAGGTCTCTCTCCACTCATGAGGATGCTGTAGAAGTAAAACAACTCAGTAAATAAAATGATGAGATAATTCTGATCTACAGTCTACTTATTTCTGTATCTGTAACCCCTACACTTTGGATCATACTGCTGTGTTCACATAATGGCCATAATGGAGTCAAGAATGTCATTTGAGTACACTACAGAAGTTTTTCAGTCCAGTGGTTCTCTAAGAGAAAGGCAGGTAGGTCCCTTGTGGGTCTTCCCCAGTTCTGATTTCTTCAGGAGGCATGTGCCAAGAATGAGATGTGTTCTACAAACACATGATGCTAATGTGCCCTCTGGCTGAGGAGTCACCTTAGTACTGTGCTCTGAGGTACATAAATTCAGCAGTTACAATATTCAAACTAAAATCCTTTCTCAAATACTTACTGACCATGAGACCTGCAGCCACCTATTTAAGTTCTATATGACCAGCATAGTGATGGCCCTGCAGGTATCTACTCAATAAACTTTAGTTATTACCTACAGAAATCCAGTTGGATGGCTTATTTGAATTTCTTGAATGTAGTGAAGAGTAGCTATTCTGACCCTCTGTTAATCTGGTAACTGTAACAATGAACCCAAATTTGCTCCTCTGAATCTATCTCAAGTTGTTCTTGACTTGTAAAGCAAAATAGAACAAGTTCCCTTCCTATTTCACATAAGACAGTTAATCCATTCCTGATGGCATTTTGAGAATTTAAACATTAACCATAATAGCTTTAAAAAGCCATCATTTTGCAATAAATAAACTGCTAAAGAATAGATGGTACAAAAAGGTTTGCATTTCAATAGAACTAGCTTTATTATTTTTAAAAAAACAAAAGATGGTCTAAAAGCAAATGTGGATTTGTACCAAGGGATGGACATGACCTGGTACTTACAAAGGAGCTGCTGTGTCATAAATGAAAACAGCATGTTAGGAGACACATAATATTTCAGGTGCAGTCTGCTTGAATAATCTGGAGATGCAAATTAACTGAAAGAAGGTGCTCTGCCAAGCAAACAGTGTGAACAACAACAAAAAAACCACCAGAAGATACTTCCAGGGAACTAAGTGGTGGCAGCACAACAGGCATCATCAACTCACAGTCTTCTCATTTTCCCCATTTTCCATAATTTTCCTCTTCTTTTCATCTGTTTTTTTCTTGAAGATGTTATTTCGGTAAAACTGAAGTTCTTTGATGCTTTCACTAATGTCGTCGAGTGCCCTACAAACAAACATACCATACTGAATTGAAGTGCCCCAGAACAGGAGGCAACAATCGCTTTACAAAGCACACCTTTTCATAAATAACTTAAGAACAAAAGGTACTAGTGTAAATGCCACTATCTGACATCAAGAACTGGAACATTTCAGTAAAGCAAACTTAAGAGCTTTTAAAGAAATTTTCGATACATAAAACTTTTCTACTATATAACAGATTAAAAGCTTCCCAAAACAGTTCCATAAGTTGGTGATGTGTTCCACACAAAAAAAAGAATCCCAGAGCCAAGTAAGTTTAGGAAAAACTGGATTAAACATTTCTTTTTTTTAAGTTCCTTACGAGCATTTAATGTACTAATGTGTATTGTGAATTCCCAAGAGGAGGCTGTGCTATACACAGAGTATTTCTAAAACTTAATCACATCTATGGAAAAACTAACAGCTCATGGATCACAGCCTGCAAAATACTGTCAATACTTAATGACATCCCTGCACAAAATGTACTGACATACTAGAACGTAACTCACGCCTCAGTCTTCACAATAAACACCAATTTTCAGGCAATGCCCAACCATGAAAGAGGGTCCAGCTCCTCTCTCAGCACGATCTGTGCTATAAACAATGGCAGCCCGCCTCCACCTAACAGCCTTTCTCCTCCTCCAACAGCCTGTTAGTCTGAGAGTTCAGGCAACCAAGATTACTAGAACAGTGTGCAAGTAAATCAGTAAGCTCTGAATGATGGGCCAAGGGTCTCTTCTAGAGAAGAAACTGCGCAAACTTCAGTGTAACAGTTTTTCAACAGTTATTCTGTGGTTAAGGCAACAATTTTGCTTTCTTCCCAGGTCCAGGTTCATGGTAGAGAGCTGAAACCACCAAAAATACAGCCTCTGACTAAATCAAGGTACACACATCTTATTCACACTACTGAAATTTAAAAAAACTGAAAACCTTCAGTACTTTTATAACCCATAATGTGTAAAACCTGACCAATCTTGATCTGAGCCTATTTATAGTCATTCATAATAACATTCAGAGTGAATATCCATACATTTCACTGTAGAAACGCCAATGTTTTTGTTTGTTTTGAATCCTCACCTGAGGACACACCTAACTGATTTTAGAGAGAGGAAGGGGAGAGAGAGAAACTGATCAGCTGCCTCCTGTACGCATCCTGATTGGAGGTCAAACCTGCAACCTAGGCACGTGCCTGACCAGGAATCAAACTGTCAACCTTTTGGTGGATGGGACAATGTTCCAACCAACTTAGCCACCCTGACAGAGCAAACTATCAATGTTTTTGACTATAGGCTGCTTCATCAGACTTTGTTAGGGGTATTCATAATAATCACAAGTACTCTATTCTCTTTCTAAAATCTGAGAAATTCTAAATGCAAACACATCAAGCCCCGATTATTTCAGATAAGATATTCTACTCATGTATTACTGTGCTATAGTCCATGCAAGTCCTATTTAACTTTTTTTTTTAGAGAGAGAGGGGGAGGGAGGAAGAAAAAGAGGGAGAAAAACAGTAACATGCATAAGAAACATCCACCTGTTGCCTCTTGCACGCCCCCCAACCAGGGACCTGGCCTACAGCCCAAGCATGTGCCCCAACCAGGAATCAAACCAGAGACCCTTCAGTCTGCAGATGCCCAACCCACTGAGCCACACAAGTCAGGGCACACGAGTCCAATATTTAAAAACCTAAGAATGCCAGATTCTTTAGAGCAGGGACTTAGTCTTTCTGTATTTGCCTAAAACTGTTCCTGGCACATAGTAGGAATGCAGTAAATGGATGAACCAAATGCTGTCCTTAGAAACTGGCTGCTAAATCCCCCATCAAGTTTATGTTCCTCCTGAAGGACAACGAAAATCAAAAAGTAAAAGAGGACACTAAATACATTGGATTCTTAAATTCCTTGTATACTTGTTCCTAAAGTTTCAAACAAACAAACAAATCTGAAAAACTAAAAAGTGTCGAAGTTAGGTTAACTGAATATACAACTGTACAAAAAGTGTTCTGATTTTAAATGACTAAGAGTTGATATTCTTGCTGGGAAGAAAATTAATACTGCTCATTATTAGGAAATGACAGTTTCCTAGGAGTTAGACAGTTTCACATACCTACTAAGTTACCTAGAAGTTTTAGAACTGCAATAAAGACATAAGACCCTAATGCTAGAATCCTGACCAGAATTTCTGATAATCTTGGTAAAAGAAAGTTATTTTTATGCTAGTTGTCCTTTATTTTTCCCCCAAGGAAAAAGAGTAGTAAAGAGATTATTTCAGGCAATCAGGAATCTGGCATGTCAGATTGCCAAGCACTGGAAGGACCCAAACTTACCTGTGAGAAGCAGCCTTCTTTGGTGCAAATTCATATTCTTCTGGATACCAGCGTCTATACACAGCAAAAATGGAACTCTCAAAGGCAAGTGTCTCAAATACACTGAATACTTTTGTAACCAGCTTATCAACTAAAAAAGGCACTTGGGTTGTGACTACCAAGTTGCCTCTTTGCTTGGGCTTCTATCTTCTACCCTCTCCTCTCTTCATTCTTAAATATTCTCTTTGGGTAAGCTCATCAGCGCATAAGATTCCTAAATCTGTTAACTCCAGCCCAGCTCTCTCCTGAGTTTCTGTCATGGATGCCTAAATGATTGCTGGAGACACCTAAAAATCCATCAGATACTTCTAATTACACTATACAAAAATCATACTCCCATCCTTCTCAATACCTCCCTCCCCCAATCTACCAGTCTGCTTTCTCTTACTTTCCTCTTTATCTTTGAACAGATCCATCATGACCTGCCTACCAGATCTAGAAACGCTAGAATCACTTTGTATCTCCTCCTTTTCCTCACTCCCCCATTCAAGCACTGAATGCCAGCCAAACGATTTTCTCCAGTATTTCATCCCTTACCCTCTCTACCACCCAAGTTCCATTTTCCTAGCTCATTCTTCTCTCTCCAGGATGATGCTAGAGTCTCCTTTCTTATCTCCCTACCTCTTTTCTTGCCACTTTGTAATCAGTATGATCTAGTCACATCATTCATTCTTCTATTTAAACTTTCCAAAGAAACTCCATCCTTTAAAAGAGGAACTTGAACCTCCTAGCATGGCAGACAGGCCCTTCCTAACTTTGGGCCTCACCCCCACTTTTACCAACCCCATGCTTTGCCCTCCAGCATTAATGAACTATTTGTAGTTCCTTGAATATGTTTTATCCTTATCTTCCTGCTCCCTATCTTTACACCCCTTCCCATTCTCTAGAATGCTCTCTCCTCACATAAATACCTGAAAAACTTCCATTCTTCTTTAAACCTCAATTTAAAAAATACTTCCTATGTGAAGTGTTCCCATTCCCCCAACTCCAGCACTTAGCTGCTCCTTCCCTTGGACCTTCAATATTCTACATACACATTTCTGTTACAGAAGTCATCAACTGCATATTTTTAGGGTGTGGTTTTTTTTTTACACATCAGTCAACCCATTAAATTTTAAGCTACTTAAGGGTTTTTCATCTATATGTTCCCGGCACATAGGCCTATGTATGTGGCACAGAATGAGTGTTTAATGTATTTTCTGACTAATGAAACTGATATGGAAGATTTCTCACCAGTTTCCAATTTTCACCAGTCCAGAATAAATTAAGGTCCTGTCCAAGTGAGTATGGGAGGAGGAAGTTATACGCCCACTTTGTACTCCCTGTTCTACAGCTCTATTCAAGCACTTTACACAAATTTTCAGTTAAAACATGCTAAATGAGAATGATTCCTAAATAGAGCCCTTACCTGCACAGTTCCTTAACAGTGCTCACATCAATTATTCTATAATGAAGATGTTTCATGAACTGGGGCATATATTTGTCCAGAAACTTCTTATCTGCGTGAACTGAATTTCCTAGAAAGACATAAAGTACACATCTGTGTATTTCTAGTAGTGTGCGACAGGATATGAAAATTCATAAACTGTATTTGAAATAGAGACAATTTTTAAAATTCAAACAAGTCTTAAAAGCATCTCAGAATTGAGGGCATCTGATCTGGTTACACATACAGATTCTGAGTATTTAGTCATATATAAATTTGTAAATGGTCTCTCTCTGGACAAAAGGATAAATCTATCATTCCACATAGTTAAAATAATGTACAAATCTGTTATTTTTTATATCAATTAGATGTGCAAATTTTCTCACAATGTCACAAAACACTCACCACTAACACTAAAAATTTAACTTTTAATGAATCACATAAGTTGGTAAACTTTTATTATCCTTCCAGTTCTAATAAATCATATCCATATTCATGTTTACATATAGTAATTTATATTAAAAACACTAAATTTTAAATGAGAACTGTAAGATAGACACCAGCTACACTGGTGAAGGGAAAAGTGTATACATTCTATGCTCTAGTACTTACTGTCAAATCTTTTTTATGAATGTTTAAGGAAAATGTTAGTTACTATATCAATTTACATATACAAACAAAAATACATCTCCACAGAACATTAACTTCCCTGACAAGGCAGTGCTTCCAAAAGCTTAGAGGAAAGGCTTGCAGTCTTTAAAAAGACAATGTCACATGGAATAGAAAACACAGGTGGACACTTTAGATTGAGAATTAAGAGATAATATCCAAATGAAATGCATGAGCCTTGATTAAATCCTTGTTCAACAAGGAGATATTTTGGATGTAGATCAGATATTAGCTGATATCACTGAATTATTTTTAATTATCCTAAATGTGATAATAATACTGTGGTACCATAAAAAATATCCTTACTCTCAGGAAATGCTTGATGAGGTCATTAGAAATAAAGTGTCATGGTGCCTGCAATTTAATTTTAAATGTCCAATAAAAATGTTTGCTACTACGTCAATTTACAAAAACAAACATGGCACAAGTTTAACAATTACTAGTAATTTATATTAAATTTTTTTTCCAACTTTTCTGTACATTTGAAAATGTTCAGTAATAAAAATGAGAAAAAATTTTATTGAGTTAGTGTGTGTACCCCAGATCTCAGGTCAGGTTTAGGGCATTTCCTCAATACTCATGCGTAAGTTATACAAGGACACGTAATCACACACATAAGCTGTGTATATAATCCAAATTAGGGTTAAGTAGAAGACATGAAGGTCTCGGCTGATCTTTCTGGAACTGAAGTCTCTTGAACCATTACAATGGAAGACTATTTATAAGGTACACAAAGGAATGGACTTTACCTGCAAGTGGACAGAGCCCCGGAGGAGTCTGCTGTCGTACAAAGGATAGAAACTCGTATTCTGCCTGCTGCAATGTCATTGTACTCTCCTTCACTGCTTTGGTTAGGCCAGACTGCAAGAGAGAATCCCCAGCCCCACCAGAAACACATGAAGTCAGTTTTCAAAGGCATCAGAAATAAACCTCATTTCTAAAATAAGCAAATATAACCATAAATGAACCATTTATAGAGCCCAAGTTCAAACTGAAATTACCATCTTTGCAGATTATTTTTCCTTAAGAATCCAAGTTAAATAAGCTATGTTCCTGATTGTTAATAGTATTTCCAGTCAAAAAGGTGGTACTTATAGTCAAAGGACATAATCTCTGGGAAGAAACAACTATTACCAGGAGAGCAGCATTCCCTCTTCTCTGATGTCTATCTGACCTCATCCAAAAGACTGATCTGAGCAATACTTGACAATCCACAATGTGGTCTCAATAGACTGAATGTAGTAGAGGAAAAAAGAAGACATCAAGGGAAGATGATCTTCAGAGGTCCCAAAGATGAAAAGTAAACAAATTATCACTTTCCCAGGCTGGCCAAACAGTCGTCCCTTAACTCTTTGTAAAATACCATCCAACAACAGTACAGGCTTCAGGTGTTCTTACTGAGCCTCAGGGCCGGAATCCTGCTGTTTGGTAATGTTACCTTCCCATGATGCTCCTTACACCAATCTGACATGCTGTCCAGTAACTCATCTGGCTGTTTTATTATCAGGTTAGGACCCTGTGGATGGGAAAAGCCATTAGTCATCCAGAAGCAACAGGGATAACCTTGGTTTCTGAGGTAAAGTTTAAGCTGCTTTGAAGATTAAATATATATACCAGAGAAAGGAAGAGATGAGGGCACATTTTTAACTCTGAAAGTGGTCCTCATTATAAACAGTAGCACTGTTTATAATGGCAAAAAAGAATAAATGAACACACACAAAAATTTTTATTATACACACGCACAACTGAAAACTGAAATGATCACTAAGAGAAGAAATAGGCTTCTATCAAGGCCAACAAACTATACCCCGGCCTGTGGCCTTTTCTACTTTGTTGCCAGCAAGCTAAGAATAATTTTTACATCCGTAAAAAGTTGTAAAACAAACATGTAACAGAGTTATATGGCACTCTAATCCTAAAATATTTAATATTTGGTCTTTTTTAGAAAAGCTTCCCAACCCCTGATTCTGGGTTCATTTTGAAGTATCTACACTGCCTAGTAAAAAAAGCCAATTGTAGAACACTGTATACATGCACATGAATTCATTTACATTTGTTTTAAAATATATATATACACATTTATATATGCATACAAAATACCGAGAGAACACAAAACCTTGGTGAGTATTATGGGGCAGAAGAACAGGGTGAGAAACCAATTGCTTACTACACCTACTTTTTGGATAAAGTTATACTGGTTAATTTTAACCGTATGTTCAAACTAAAAAATTTAAAAGGTAACTGGTGACAAATGAAAAGTTAAAGTGGCCTTCAAATTCTCAGCTTTATTTAATAGAATATTCAACTGTGAGTGTCTTGGATAGAGTCCCAGCAGTAACAGAAGCCCAATTTGCAGCACTGAAGCAAGTTACCTTGGCCTTAAGTTTCTCCTTCTGTACAATGGAGATAATAAACTGCCCCCCTACCCCAAAAGGGATGTTAAGATAAAAGAAATTACAGATACAGAGTTCTTTGAACTCTCCAGAAAAAAAATACTACAAATCTAAGGCATTATTACTATTAAGGTGGTAAAAATTATTTGCAATCACTGAAAGGAATGGCTAAAATTTGACTAAAATATGCCTAACATCCTACAACTAACAAGGAGTTTAAACCAAACAAGAAAACCATTTCTATAAAGAAGATTGCCATTATCAAAAATTTTGCTCTGATCACAAATTTTCTAAAAAGCCAAAACCACATATTGTAAAAAACAGTTCTGGCAAATGATGATGGGAAAAGTTAACTCCTGTCAATCTAAGGCTATATATCTAATTCCAGATCCCAGTAAGACACTCACAGAAGCACTTTCAGAGTAGGATGCTTGTTCTTCTACCAGCATAAAACACTTTCCCTCAGACTCATATATAAAAATGAAACTTATTTTCCACAAAACTGACACATAAGTGCCAACAACCTCTAAGCATTTTTTTAACATCCTTATCCTCATCTGACTGAGTCTATTTACAAGTGTCCCACTCATCTGCAGCTGGTGAGTACAGACCCAAATTTCCTCCAGGGTACATATCAACTAACTGGTCCATTAAACTGTCACTATTTCACCATTATATCAACAGTCTAAAGGAAAAAACTCTTCTTCAGCCAAGGGTAAGTAGGGCTGGTAAAATACAAACACTTCTCTTCACTATTCACCCCTATTAAATGCCAAGTAACAGCATAAAACAAACAAACCTAAAACTCACAGCTTTTTAATATAAATAAATTTATTTACTTAAAACTTTTTAAAAGCTACTTGCTGTGACGAGAGATGCACAGTCTAATGGCTCTCCTCCAGCTGCTATATCAGGAGGTACTCCAGGACATATGCCTGCTGCTCCACGAAAGAAGCGGTTCATCTATAAATGCCTTCTCCCTTTTACCTACCCAGGAGAGTAAGTCTTAACTATAGATTTATGAAATTCATCCAGTGCCGGTAACACATCTATCCTACCCTCTAGGAACTTACTTTAACAGGACTGTCTTTCCCACAAACATACCTGTGTTCCTACTCTGGTTTCTCACTGCCTCTGGACCTCTGGATACTGCTGACAATATGAAAAGAGTTTCTCAAGGCCAGGGATGTCACCCTCTATCAATCAGATGCTGTCATATACTTATTAAATGTTCCAGGTGTGTTTTATTTTGTTATGTTTAATATCTCAGTTAAAAGTAACTTTTTAAAACTTTAATCATGTCCAGTATCAATGACAGAATATTTTATGATTCTGAATCAACAGATTTTCTAAAATCTTAATACAAATCCAGAAGAATCACATGTCCTAGTTGAAAAAGCAAAACCTGAATAAAAGGAGTCAGGTTAAAGTCAAGGTTATGATAGAAAGATGTCAACTATGGCATGAGCCACCAATCCTGATGGGACTATATAGCTGGTTGTCTTACTGGTTAGGGGCACTTTACTCAGAGTGCCTGGGTTAAACTCCTGGGTCCTGCAATAATTAGTCAAGTGGCCATAGGCAAATCACTGAAATATCTCTCCTCCAACATGTCCTCCTCTATAAAAAGAGTATAACAATCAGTAGCTACCTTACAGTCATTGTTAGATTAAGAGTGAGTACATTAATGCTCTTAGAGCTGTGCCTGGCACACAGTAAGTGCTCAGTAAATGACAGCATTTATGTTTCTGTAATTTCTTGCATGGCTTATTGAAAAATAACTGGTCTGAAATGAATTACTTTGGTTGTAGTACCAACCCTACCATGCAAGACCTAGCACAATACTTTGTATCTTCATCTTATCTTTTAAATAAGGAGACAGGGATAAGCAATCTTTAGATTTCCAATATGCTCTAAATGGTATGGGTATATTACAGGGCATCACATACTTCAGCCAAAATGTTGAGATCAGAATCAGTTATCAGACAGGCCATCTCAATAATCTGGTCCTTCTCAATGTCCAATCCTGTCATCTGTAATAAAAAATAAATATATAACACACATCTTTTTAGCCTATTTTGCTCAAATTTATGTAATAGGAATTCCCTCAAGCAGGTTAAATTAATATCCCACAGCCAAGACAGAAGAGACAATAATGCTCCTCGGGCAAGCCCTCAAGGCACTAAATATTAGTCATTTATTCAATAAACATTTACCAAAAACCTGCTATTTGTCAGGCACCCTGGTCCTACTCTAGGACAGATGCTGAATAAGCAAAATCAAGTGCTGACAGCATTCAGTTTTGAAAGAGTTAGATAACTAACATCGCTACATCTCTACAGAGTTTACAAACTTTCCATATTGATTACACCACTTGACCTTCATCACAAGCAAATGTAGAAAGTACTGTTATAACCTTCACTTCATACGTGAGAAAACTGAGGCTTCAAGAAAGGGGGAGCCCTTAGCATGAGTATGGGAAACCTAAAGGGAACACAACTGGGAGCTAATCCCAATTCAGATCCTTACTAACAACACTGTCTTGAGTGAGCTGAATCCTCTTTCTGGGACTCAGTTTCCTGGTTTGTGACAGGGCGGATAAGGCTGAGTCATTTCCGGAGTCGGTCTAGCTCCAATAACCTAGGGTCCTGTATGCCAGGGTAGAGGGTCTAGCAGAGTTGTTGTCCCCTCCCGTCCACCTCTGTCACCCTAAGCTCAAAGGGGCCACAGCGCTAGACAGCCCTGTCTAGGCAGAGCTGGGGGAACACAGCCATACGGATGACTCCTCCCCTTTGAAAAGAAACCCTGGAGTTCAGCACAGTACCCAAACCCGCAGGACATCTGCCCCCTGACTCTCCCCGTACCGCCCACACCAGGGAGGCACTCACCTGCCACATCTGAGACCCAGACACCAGCCGCTCTTCCCGGACTTCGCCACTCCGACCAATCGCGAAAACTCACTCGCCTCCCCTTATCGCCACCCGCCCCCACCCCCGACCTCACTCACCTCCAGATCCACCCAGACCATCCGCTGAGCCATGCTCTCCCCTGCCGCCATGGCTCCGCCACCTTCGCAGACACCCCGCGCCCCGAACTGCCCGCGACTACCACCCACACCTCCCAACAGCCTGGAGCGGAGGGAGCCGCCTAGCATCACCCGGCACGAGCAGACACTGCCCCAAACTCTCCAGCAGCGCTGGCGCAGGCGCGATAGTCGCTAAACGTCGCAAACCCACTGGGAGGCGCAGAAACAAAAACCACAAGTCCCAGCATCCAGTGCGCCGGCTCGCCCTAAACAACCCGGTTTAACTGTCCAGTGGGATGCTGGGATTTACAGTCTTGCCTATTATTGAGACCGATTTCTCCACCCCCGCCACGTGTTTTCCAATGTTATTGGACGCGCTAGTTTTTCAGAACAGGTTTATTCGTGTCGTGAGTGGTTCCCTGAGTCTGGGAACTTTCTTACTTTGGTCGAAAAATACCTGGTTATCCCTCCTCGGTTTTTTTTTTCAAATATATATTTTGCTTTTGTGTCCCCCCCACCCCCACCCACCGCTACCACCACTTTTTTTACTTGCCTTCCCCACCAGTGCGTATTAGTGCTGAAGTTCCTTTCGTCATGGCAAAGTGTTACTTACTCCTAATTTCCTACGCACGGACGTTGTTTCAGTTCAGCTGCTGGGTATCAGTGGTAATGACTGCTACTCTACCCTCAGAAGTTCTCAAAATTGAATCTGGTCCTTGTGTAATAAATCCAGGCGGCAGGAAAAATTAAAATGAACTAAAAATAGCTCGGCTCCCTCTGTATGTAACCTGCTTTGGTTTTGATGAAACTATCTTTAATTCATCATTCCCACAAGCAAAGATGGCCACCAACAGGACCTCTTAAGTCTTCCTTACTCAGTAACAAATTTGTGCACTGAGTGCGACTTTGTTACAAGCATCTGTTTCAACCTGGCATTATATCCTCAATGTATATTTTCTGAAAGTGGTTTCGCCACTAATTACAGCGCTTGGTGAGCTGGTTTTGTGAGAGAAACTTTGTTGCCTAATCAGCTTGTACAAATAGTGTGATGTACAGCATTTCGCCTTCAACTCCTTTGTCCTACTTAACCCACCACCAGCCCAGGTGCAGAGAAATTCTGAGGGGTCATCAAGTTGTGCGCACAGATTATGTACATACAGTATATAGACTTTCATTATGTGGGATGTGTGTATATTGTAACTGCATTGTCTTAGGAGTCGAATTGTTTTGTTAGAGGGTGCTATTTGTGGCCACTTTATGAGAAAAAGTCTACATTTCTTTTTTAGTTTTTTCTTAGTTTTTTAAAATTTTATTTATTGATTTAGAAACAGAGAAAAAGAGGAAGGGAGAGAGAGAAACATGGATTTGTTGTTCCACTTATTTATGCATTCATTGTTTGACTCATATGTGTTCTGACCTGGAATGGAACCCACAGCCTTAAGGTATATGGGCACAAGGCACTAACCAATTGACCTACCCAACCAAGGCAATTATTATTTAAACTTCATTCATGTACAGTAGATTTAGTTGAAGTATATAACTTTATCAATCAGGCTTTTCATCATTCTCCTAAATTAGTATTATTACTTTAAAATGTCAAAGAAATTTTCAAAGTTCCTACTGGAACATTAGTATTATTACAAGTTACAACCTACAAAATGGAATTTACATATTAAAATTTATATCCTGAAAATTTATTAACATAATTTTAAAATATTGGATAGTCAAAATTATTCATAGACATTTCTGAAACTTCAGTTTTCATAGTAATGTACGTCACTATAAAAATAAAGACACATTTTAGGTGAATGGCATTATAATGTAAGATTTACAGCTTATTGGTTTTTGTATGAATGGCATTATAATGTAAAAAGATTTATAGTTTATTAGTTCTTGTAATATTACTGGATTAGTAACCTTAACTGTGTATGCCCCAAAGCAGAGCATTGTATGCACCGATTGGACAAATCCAAACCTAATAAATAAGGGAGAGGACAGACTCCAGAAAATGGAACTCTAGAATCTGAAAGCAGCGTTGTCCCACAGTGGGCTCAATCATTTCTTTCCTTTTTCCTCTCTTAACAGAATTTATCTGAAAGCCACACCACTCTGAGACTTTCTTTTTCCAAATCTGTTGTGAGCCTATAAAAATTGCTTTTGTTAATTAACACCCAGGGTATAGGACCAAGAACTCTTGCTCTTTAAAAATCATAGACAATGAGAGATGTTGCTACTTGATGTTATTTCAGTGAGAATAGAACATCCCTTATTTAAATAATCTGAGCCATGTAGGTCACTCAGACACAGAGAAGCTGCCTCTGTTTCCAACCCAGAGGCAGAGATTCAGATAAAAGTTCTTTAGACAGCATTCCACATTTATCTTAACTTTGTATTTTCTAAAGAAACAAGACCCTGCTGAGTCAGCTTCTCAACACTGCTGGTAGTCAGACCATAATGTTTTTAACAGAATCTATGGGAGTGTTTCTAACGGGACATGACTAAGGCCACACAAATCCTCCTTTATGATAAGATATCAGTAGATTTTTTATTTTTTTTTACTTTCATTTTTCAATTGTGGTAAGACATATGTAACAAAACATTTTCCATTTTGACCACTTTTAAGTGTGCAAATTAGTGGCATTAAGTACATTCACATGGTTGTGCGGTCATCACCGCTTTCCATCCCCAGAGCTTTTTCATCTTCCCAAACCGAAACTCTCTGTCCACTAAGTACCAGCTCCCTGTTTCCACCCAGCTTCTGGCCACCAAGGTTCTTTTTGTCTCCATTAACTCGACTATACTGGGTACCTCATACAACTGAAATCGTACAGTATTGGTCCTTTCGTGTCTGGCTTATTCCTTATCATAATGTCCACAAATTCATCCAAGTTGTAGTTGGTATGTGTCAGAATTTCCTTCCTTTTCAAGCTGAGTAATATTTCATTGTATGTATACAAATACCACATCTTGTTTACCCATTCATCAGTTGATGGATACTTGGGTTGCTTCTACCCTTTGGCTACTATAAATATTTACATGGATTTTAATTTTTTTAATTACTGTTTTCTTACCAGGGTTTTCCCAGCCTTGATTTGTTCCCCTCACCTCCTGAAGAAAGATTATTGTAATGATCAATCCAGAGGTGATTCTTACTCCCCTTGCTTCTTTAGAATCATCTTAAACTCTATTTTTTGCAGTCCTTCTCTCTTCCCATTAGGAGAGGCCTCTGGTTCCTAATGTTAATTGCTACAGAGTTCATAAACCTAATATTGTTACTGTTATGTTCCTAATGAGTTTTATCTGATATGCTTTATCACATTCCTACTAAACTACACTTTAATTTCCAGAATATATTTATTTTTATACTTTATAGCACAAGCACAGAGCCATATGGCAATGGTGGTAGTGCTAGTTAGTGGTCACCAAAGTAGTGAGACTATGTCACAACTGTAAACTGCCTTGCAATTTATAAAGCATTTTCAAATGGGCAGTAGGTGCCTCATGAAGATTTGCTCATTGACAATTATATGTCTTTTGTTCCTCTTTTGTGGGGCTTTCTCTTGAAAAATGCTGACATCATGTTTTCTGCCAGTACCTGAAAACTGCTGTTTATTTCCTTCTAGCGGTCTGGGGAGGAATAAAGGACAATAAATTTTTGTAAAAAAAGTGCCACTGTAAAAAAAAAAAAAAATATATATATATATATATATATGGTAAAAATATAAACCAAACATAATCTTAAAAAATGCACCTTGTACAAAATGAACAACCTAAAGGTTTTCTTGAAATTTTACCTCAATTCACTTCAACAAACACTTACTGAATATTTAGTGCGTATCAGACACTTTGCTAAAATGCCAAAGTAAAAATATATTTATTAAGCTGATATTTATTATACCACACATTATAGGCAATGGGTTAGCCAAAAGTTCATTTGTTGGTTTTTTTTTTGTAAGATGGCTCTAGTAGCACTTAGTTGTCTTGAACTTCATTTGAAATAATTTTGTTAGATTGTATTTTGACAGCTGTCATATCAGCATACATTAAAAAACATCGAAATTGGTGAGTATTTGTGTAGCCATCTTAATATCAAAGATGGAAGAATATATGCAACATATTTGGCATATCATGATTTATTATTTCAAGAAAGGTAAAAGTGCAACTTAAATGCAAAAACAACAAAAACAAAAACAAAAAACAAAGGTGCTATGACTAATCAAACACATAAAAAGAGATTTGCAAAGTTACATGCTGGAGTATTCTTGCTGGAAAATGCCCCACGGTCGAGTAGACAAGTTGAAGCTGATAGCAATCAAATTGAGATATTAACTAGGAACAATCAACCTTATACCACATAGGAGATAGTTGACATACTCAAAATATCCAAATTAATGAAGTTACTGGTGAAAATGAAAAACGTGTCTTGTTTTACAGAAAAAAAAACTAAACAGACATTTGGCCAAACCAATACTTAAGATATTAAAGGTTCATTTTGGATTTAGAGTTGGTTGTTTCTTCTGCAGATGAGGAAATAGCTTTAATTTCTTTCCATCTTTGAAATGGGTTGTATGATTAAATAAAAACATGGAGAACATCTAATATGTGATATAGGAGGTGTTCATCTAAGTCTGTAAGGAAATCAAGAGATACAGAATTTAATACAAAGGAGTCTGTGCCAAAATTGTAGAGTATGCCCTGGCTGATGTGGCTCGGTTGGTTGGGCATCATTCTGTAGACCAGAAGGTCACAGGTTTGAGTTCCAGTCAGGGCACATACATGTGTTGTGGGTTCAGCCCCCAGTCCGGGTGCATGTAGGAGGCAATCAATCAACATTCTCTCTCTCATGTCAATGTTTCTCTTCCTCTCTCCCTCCCTGCCCCTCTCTTTAGAATCAATAAAGGGAAACATTTTAATGAATTATAGAGTGTTAAGAGGATACAGGAGAAAGGGATTCGTTTTGACTAAAGAGATACAGGAGAATGGAAATTGCATTAAATCCTGAAAGAAAAGAACTTTGACAACAGATATTATGGGTAAGAATATCCCAGATAGATAGAATATCTTGGACTTAAGCAACTGGGATGATTAGCCTTTAAAATGGAAGAGAAATGCAATGGAGAGAACAAATTGGAGGAAGAACAGGTAAGAGCTGAAGAGTTCTATTTTGGACAGGTTGAAGTTGTGCTTTA